TGCTGTTGCAATCACAGCAAACATCATACTTGGATGCATAAACACAAATATTTCTCAAAAATTTTTCACTTATGCCTCTTTCAGCAGATGAAATGAGACAGTGTCCTTCAACCCTGTTTGGAGATTTAAGTACAAAAGCAACAGCATCTACTCCAAGCTTACATATTCTAAAGTGCAAAATGAGAAAATTTTTAATCAAAATAACTGAAGTAACTAGAAGTAAATTACATACATCTCTGTATTGGATGCAATTTTCTTGTAAAGACAAGATTTGAAAAAAATACCATCTAAAGAGGAGTGGAGGAACCTTGGCATTCCAAAGTGAAAGATTAAAGCATGAGCATCTAAATGGAAGAGCAAAGGCTGAAATCATGGCATACCCAGTGAAAAAGGGTAGGTTAAAGGGGTTCACACTAGGAGACTTTGACATAACAGTCCTCATGTAATTAAATGGCAGCTGCTAAATTGCATTTGGATAGATACAGATTTCACAACATCAAGCACTCCCTAAGATTTCTAAAGCCCTGGCATAGGTTATTTGGGGAATCTGCAGCAGCTTTAGAAGTTGGTGACTGGTTTTACTGAATATTCCAGAAGCCCAGAGGAGATCATGGATGTGGTAGAAGGCTGGGGCAGGTTTGGTTTGGTTTTTGTGAGTGGACTGAATTGGGGGTACACAAAAAGCTGCACTGCCTCTGTTCCAGCTGGACTGTCCCACACATGAATATTCCTGGCCCTGGGATGGAAAAGCCTGACTGCTCCTGTCTTCATCCTGTTCAGTCATTGTCCCCCTCGATGACTTTGAGGGTTCACTGAAAACTACCTCCCCATATTTGAAGAAAAGGGAAGATGCTCTGCGGCTTTCTCACTGTCCTCTCAGACTTGTGCTTGTGGCTTCTTTGCATGGGAAGGGAGCAGAGCCTGGTTTCCTCTGCAGCCACCCAAACCTAGCATAAAATCTGTTTATAAATCTCTCCTTGGTGCTGTCACCCCCTAGGCCAGGAGCTGGGGACACCCTGAATGGCACCACACATGGCAGCCCAGCTCACAGCTTCCCTGAGCCACATGGGCCAGCACTGCATGCCAGCCAAGCCAGCCTGCATCCCACATCCTGCATCCTGCATCATCCCACATCCTGCACCATCTCATCTCCTCCATCACAGACCTTCCATGGCTGCCCTGCTTCTGACCTGGAGAGCAAGGCTGAGGCTGCAAAGGGGCTTCTGGAGCTGCCAGTGCCCCAGTGCCAGAGCAGCCAGATCTTCCCAGAACTTGATCCCTGAGAGCAGTTCCCCACATTTACCTGTCCCCTCCTATGTACGAGAGACATGGTAATAATAAAAAGACCTGGTCACATGGGGTGTATTGCTCACTGCAAGAAATACAGTCAAGGACCAGCTGCAAGGGCTTACCTCCTTCTTTAATCTTTCCCTACTTTCTGCAGAAAGGGTAATTGCAAAGATGATGGCCTGACCTTGGGCTGCATGATTCAGACCTTCAGATAAGTATTTTAACAAGAGTTCATGGGAGTGGCTGTATGAGGTGAAACAAGGGCAAGTCTTTATTTCACTTAAAAACATCTTGGATTTTTCTCATTGTGGCTTGTTTATTTGAGAGCAGCAGGACAAAGATGCCACCTACTCCTGCAGTTATTGCCACCAGTGCAGCCACATCCTGGTCATGGGAAAGGTATCTGTTTATCTCAGTTTGGTGGTGGCACTTTTTTGGATGCTGCCAGGCCTGTTGGAAAGAGCAGGACCAGCAGGGAGAGCAGCTGGCTCACAGCACTGGGAGTGCAGTCCCTGCACAGGACCCACCCCGCTCTCCAGGAAAATTCACTGTCAGATGGCACCAGCAATTTCCATCTAAACTCCACAGGGATTTTACACTGGAAGCAGCCTGTAAATTAAATAAGTATTGCAACATATTTGTAAGACAGCTGTACTAAATGCTTCCAGATATACATTCATCCTGGAGACATGTGTGGTCAGATGGGATCCAGGCAGCTTGCATTACTCTGCAACACTTGCTGGGCTCTTGCCATGGTTTTCTCATCTATCATGTGTTTGGGAGCTTGAAATGTTATTATTTTTTTTGGCATTACTGCTACATTTCATCTGTCATCACTAAGTGCTGCAGGAACACACAGGGACAGATGGGCCTGGACTCTTCTTCCTATCTGAATAAAAACAGGCACAACCAGGGAAAGCAGCTGCTGCAAGGTCATGCTCTGGGGCAAAGTAGACATTTGCCACCTAAATTTCACCTGCCCAGTAAACCACATTTTCTGCAATGAATTCCAGCAGTGTGAGTTAAATCAGTGAGGAAAATCCTCTCCTGCTTAGGTGTCTAAAGTGAGTGGAGAAATTCCTGAGACCCAGAAAGCAAATTCCACAGCCTGCTGTGTCCAAGGTAGTGGCATGGGATGGAAATTCTTCAGTGTAACTGGGTTGTTTTATTGATGGCCTGAACTCTTGTGGCCCCAATGCCATCACGTGGACATCCACAGCATTGAGCCAACCCTCCAGAGGCTCTCTGAAAATGTTTGACAACTTTCCAAGTGTCCTTTAACACCCAACTGCAGTTTCACCAGTCTCAAATGTTCAGAAGGTCAAGCCAAGTTTCTGTTCTCCCTGCCAGCCTCCCCAGGTCGCTGTGGCTATCTGAAGACCCTTGTGCCTGCTTTTTCATGCTCAGATCTTCTTCTGGAGTCCTCCATCACCAGGGCTATAGATTCTCCTGGTGCTAACAGATTGTTCTGGCCTTGTCCCAGGCCCTGACAGTGATCAAACCAATACTGTCCCTTTTCACTTTACTTGCAGCTCTGCAGCAACTTCACTTTGCCTTTTGAACTTTCATAGTTCCTTCCCCTGCAAAACCCCCTGAATTTTCTTCCCCTGGCTCTCAGCATTCATGGCTTCTCTTGCTGTGAATCCTCTGAAATACATGAGAAAGGTTTTTCTCTCTCCTCCACCAGGGAAATATACAATGCAGAGGTTGGAGGCTAGATTAAGCACCAAGTTTTTCACCCATGGTGCTTTTTTATCACCCAAGATCAGATTCTGTCTCCAAATTCCCATAAATGCGGGTTTATCCACTCTGTCCCCTATGTTCCCTCCATATCAGCTCAGCACTTGACATCTCACGTGATTTTCATGACAACCCATATCCCTTGGCTTCTTGCTCAACGGTGGTTATTGGTTATTTTATAACTATAGAGAAGCCAGTTTGATAAAAATTGACCCTGATCATTGTTAAACCCATTCTCCAGGGACTTTGTCACCATTGAGAATTTCTGTGTTGTTATAAAAACTTATAAAAGTTTTATCTACAGCTGCACCAGAAACTGGCCTGACCTCTCCACCTGTGGGTATGGGGGTATTTATGGGTTATTTTGTAGGGGACTGCTGAAAGGTGCCAGCCACATCCAGATTGGTGAGTCTGGTGATGATGTAGGTACCGCAGGACATTCCAAACAGTTCCATTGGCACTGAACAAAGGCTCAACCATCAGACCTCCCTCATTTCCTTGTGCAAACCTTGTGAGGGACCCAACTACACAGCATCATATTATTTATGAGTACTCTGCAAGTTTTCACAGGAGAGTTTGTCATGTCAAAATGTGTCCCTTATGTTCTTTGGCTACAGCCAAAGCCCTCCCTAATAAATGCCTAACCTGGTTACAGCTTTCTGGCTCGTAAAGATCAACTTTTATCTCTTCCCTGAACTTTCATGCAGGTCCAGCTGGCTCACTACAGAAAGACACACAATTTTCATGAAGATGGCCAAGTGTGTGAAAAGGTGACACTGCTCAGTGTAGCGCCTACCAGGGATGTTGTCCAAGGCAGTGACAATGAACACCAGACAAACAGTGGGTTTTTTCCAGCAAAATGACTCTATGAGCAGAAAATGTGGGACATGCCATCATCAGAAGTCCTCTGTCTCAGAGATGTGTTACATTAAAAAGAAGCACTCACAAAATTCAGCAGCCCTTATACTGTAGCCCATCTATCAGCCTCCACAGCTGATAACCCATTTAATCCTCATAACATCCCAAGACACAAATGGGACATTATTTCAGCCCATCTGGAGGTCCTGCTTTTTACAATATGCATGCAAGTCACCCACACACATCAGACTTCCAGCCCCAGTTCTCCACCAACCATTCCAGGATTCTGGGATTATGGGATGTGAACCCAGGTAAGCAGCAGGATCTGCACAGGGATTGCAAGGAGGGTCCTACCTGGGCTCCAACCATGCATTAGAGAGGTAAATGCAGAGCCTTTTTTAAGAAGGTCAGGTGGACAGAGGAAGGAGAGTTTACCAGGCCTGTAGAGGGAACATGGCCTTGGCATCACACCTCCCCATCGTGTGCTCTCAACCTTGCTGCAGCTCACATCATTGTTCTGTGGCTGCTCTGCAGCCTTTTCCTCTCCTTGTCTCATCTACTGGCCATGGTAATTCCTCTGGACAGCAGTTTTGTCTCCTGGCTTGTCTGTGGATGGAGCCCTTGGGGAACAGGGCCACATCCCTCTCGTGCTGCTGGAGTTATGTCTGTTCTCTGGATTGCAGCCCAGCAGAGCTGGGTGATGCTGCTCTCACCTGGAGCACTGCTGTCACAGGTGGAGGTGGCTGGATCCATGCAGTACCTGCTCACTGAGGAGGGGTGGTCTGTGTGTTCCTCACTTCCTGGGGGCAGGTGAGAGTTCTACACCTGAACTCTCTGAGGACAGCACGGAGCTCAGCTAGAGCCCCAGCCTGCCTACATCTCACCTCCTCCCTCCTCTGGCTTCATCCACCTGGGCATGGAGGACTGTGGCTGTGTGTGACAGCGCTGCTGGGACTCCAGAGAAAGCAGGAAATGTTCAGAGGCTGTTTGTTCTCCAGGTTGCAGGCATAGGCTGCAGAAAGCAGGTCAAAGGGTGAGTGAGTTCACAGGCTGCTGGCTGGGTTGACACAGTGCTTGCCATGATGTTCCAGCAGCTATAAATTGCTGTCAGCTCCACTTCACTAGGGTCAGCTCCTGCAGAGGGAGAGGATTTTTACCTGCACTGAGCTCTCCACCTGGCTCAGGCGTGGGAAGAGAGGCAAGAACAGGCAGGAGAAGGCAGTGTCCTGGAGCAGCATGGCATCTCTGCTGGACCTAGCCAGACCTTCTGCTGTCGTCCTGCAGCTGTCTGTGCTGCTTGCTGTAATCTTTGTGCTGCTGAAGGTGCTCCAGTTGTACCAGGAAAGGAAGAAACTCATCAAAGCTCTGGAGGCATTCCCTGGCCCCCCAAAACACTGGCTCTATGGCCACAATCACCTGGTAAGGAGTGAGCTGGGCTCAGCTGGGGTGGGTTTGTCACAACTGTGCAAGGTATCAGGATGAGAAGGACTGGATGGGGTGTGTGTGTGTCCCCTGCTCCTGTCTCCTCCTACAGGAGAGGACCTCTGCACAGGGAATGCTGCCAAGGCCTCTGCAGGGCAGGAGGAAAGGGTGCTGGATATAGTGTGTGCATCATTTAGCAAAAAAGAGTCATGCTCTTTTCAACCATGCCCTTAAACAAAGAGTTATGGGACTTCCCTGAAGTTATTTAAATATGAGCAATCATAAATTGTCTCTCTGCTACATGAAACCTTCTACCAATAGGAGTGTCTTACCCTAGAGCCACTGAAGAGGGCACGGCCACAAAAGCAGGGTGTTTTAATGCAGCCTTTTTCATCATTCTCTAGTGGAGATGTCTTGCTTTCACACTGCATGGCCACCTTGCACTGCTGAAACTGGGGAACAGGGCTGTGACAGCCTTGGTCCTCCTGGCACTGCCCATGCCAGCTGCAGCTCCCAAGTGCCACACGGGGCTGCTCCAAGCCCAGGCCATCCGAAGGTGTCTCAGCTGCCACCAGCCCAGCAGGGGACTCTCCATGGAGCTGTCTGGTGCTGCAAGGGTTTGGAGGCTCAGGCAGCTTTGCCTCTTGCACACAGTCCCTCTGCAACACTCACTCTCCCCTCCACCTGCAGCATGAGAGCTCCTGTGCGGCAAGCAAGTCCTCCCACTCTTCCTTCATTTCCTAAGAGAGAATGTCTTGCTTGTGCTTTCCATGAGACTGCAAGTTTAACCTCTGCTCTCCCTGGCATGTCCCTCTTTTAATCCCTGATTAACTCTCATTGCAGATAGGTTCTAAAAACTTCTTAGACCAGATAGTGTCATGGGGGGAAGAATATCCCTATGCCTTTCCCAGATGGTTTGGACCACTCCTGCCTTCTCTAATCATCCACCATCCTGAATATGCCAAAAGCCTACTTGGCCGAACAGGTGAGTCTCTACCTCCAGTTTTGAGAAGTCTTTGACACTTTCCTGCCAAGAAAATACTGGGGAACTTTCCTGGAGTTATCCCCTCTGCCAGCTTCCTTCACAGCTATTTCAATTCTTCTTTTGCTCCTCTTCACAAACTCCCAGGCTGCCCCAGGTTTCATGGAGCAGTTTGTAGTCCTGTGCAAAACAGAGCCCAGGTGCCTGTTCCTTCCAGTTTCCTGTCAGTTCCCAGTTTGAGGGTCATCTGTCTTATTGTCTTCTATGGCTTCTACCACCACAATATTTGTGCTTCCCAGTAAACCCAGTAAAAAGTGTGAGCTGTCATGGCAATGGCTCTCAGAAGGCATCTTCAGCCTCCTCTTCTGCTCCCTTCTGTGGAATGAGCAGTATGAGTGGTACATACACGGCCATCCCCACTAACTCCCATCCATTGTTCTCAGTTTTGGAATTTGCCATGGCTGTTTCTTTTCCACACATATTTTTTTTGTTCTAACTTTCTCTGTTTTTTCAAGTCCACTGCTGTCATAATTGTAGATGATCACTTTTAAACTACCTCTGGTGGTACAGTATTTTAAATATTGAAATGAGGTGAGATTAATTCTATCATGTGATTTAGAGGGCGAAATCTAATGCGAATTTATCCTGAATTTTCTCTTTTGTTGTGTTGAATTCATTATTTATTCATACATTTCTGATACCTGTTTCATTTTACAGATCCCAAGGCTAGTATACCCTACAAATTCCTAATTCCCTGGATTGGTAAGTCAAAAGCATCAGTAAGGCTGTCAGAGCTGTGATCAGAGCCTGCAGGAGCTGACAGTGCCTTTGCTGTTTGTGCTTCAGGGGAGGGGCTGCTGATCTTGGAAGGAGGCAAATGGTTCCAGCACAGGAAGATGCTGACCCCAGCCTTTCATTACGATGTGCTGAAATCTTACGTCACCCTGATGTCAGACTCAGTCAAAGTGATGCTGGTAAGAATCCCCACTCCTGCTACTTTTACCTTTCAGCTGTGAAATGGTGAAAATAAAAAAAATGAGTGAGAGAAAGAGACAGCACTTAGAGAGTTTCTACTTTCACTGAATTTTTGGAGTAGTTTTGAGGTGCTAAAATAGCTCCCCTCACCTTCCTTTGGACATTCCACTCTTTCTCTTTGTTTGCCCATAACATCAACCACTGCAAGAATATCCTCTCATACCTTGATGTGTGTCCTTTCATACCTGGGAAAAGAAATGTGCAGAGGAGTTAGATTAGGTTCATGGACTGTATAATGAACTAGGGCCTCTGCTTCCAGAAAAGAAAGCAATTTGCAATGTGGATCTGGGAAGAGGGACAGGAAAATATGACCACAGATGGCTGTCTGTCTCTCCTTACCCCTGGCTCTCCTTCTAGGATAAATGGGACAAGAAGATCATGGAGAGGAAGTCAGTGGAACTCTTTCAAGACGTCAGCTTGATGACCCTAGACATCATCATGAAGTGTGCCTTCAGTTGTAATTCCAACTGTCAGACTCAGAGGTCAGTGCCTGAATTTCCAAAGCCTGGCAAAGCAAGTGCTCCTGTTTCACCACTCATTTTACTAACACCAGCTTTCCCCTTGGCCTCCTTACAGCGACTCCCACTATTATATTAGAGCTGTTTTTGACCTGACCTACCTCCTGAGCAATAGAATCCAGTCTTTTTCCTTCAAGGATGTCTTCTACAACTTGACTAGCAAAGGCCGTGAGTTTCAGGATGCCTGCAAGCTGGCCCATTCCCACACAGGTATTCCTGCCCTTTTCTCCCCAGTCCTTTCTCCCAGCTGAACCTCTCCCCTACTTGCCCCTGGACTGGCCAGGGGGTTACACATTAAACAGAGTCCAAGCTGATGACCGAGTGGCCAAGTTCATGAGGGTACTCTGGAGGGGCAGGATGCACAGAATTCACCTCTCCCCTGTGCAGATCAGGTAATACAAGAAAGAAAGCTGTTGCTCTCCAATGAGAAGGAACTTGACAAGATCCAGAAGAAGAGGCACCTGGATTTTCTGGACATTCTTCTTTGTAGCAAGGTGAATGTTTGAAATGATCCTACCAAACGCCAAACAGAACCGTGTGGCACCGAGGGTGCGTCAGCACAAGGAGGGAAGCACAGGAGACACCAAATCATAAAAGTCCTTTGGGTATAAGAATAAAAGACCTGTGTGTTTAGGAATGACATACTCTCCTCTTTCTTAGGATGCAAATGGAGCTGGACTGTCCGATGAGGACCTGCGTGCCGAGGTGGACACCTTCATGTTTGAGGGTCACGATACCACGGCCAGTGGCATCTCCTGGCTCTTCTACTGCATGTCACTGCATCCAGAGCACCAGCAACGGTGCAGGGAGGAGATCCAGGGCATCCTGGGGGACCGAGATACCATTGAGTGGTGAGCTAGGACTTCTCATTTCTTTATCTTGAGCTCTTTTAATTTACCCTTGAAGGCCTTTGACAACCCTCCCCCAACATTCTTCTCCCTAAACTGGAGAGATAAGGATTTGATGGGTGGACTGTTTGGTGGGTGAGGAATTGTCTGGAAGGTGGCATCCAGTAGGTAGTGGTCAATTGTCCAGATCAGTGACAAGTGGTTTCCCTCAGGGGTCTGTACTGGGACAGACCAGTGACATCTTTCTCAGTGACACAGACAAACTGAGTGAGTGCATCCTCAGCAAGTTTGCTTTCAGGGAGGACCTTGGGAAGATGACCTACACCACGATGTGCATCAAAGAGAGCTTACGCCTATTCCCACCCGTTCCTGCTGTGTCCCGACAGCTCTCCAAACCCATCACATTTCCTGATGGACGCAGCTTGCCAGCAGGTCTGTGGAGTTTGCTCGTCCTTCGTGCTGCTGTCTGTGACAAGTGAGGCTTTCTCGCTCTGTGTGGAGGGGCTAGAGGGTTTTCCAGACTCCCTTCTCTCTCCTGTAGCTGTACAGAGCTACCACAGCTTGTTGCAGAGTGAGTCTGGAAAGGGTGGCCAGACAGAGTCCAAGAACATGCTCCACAGCTCAGAGGAGGCTTGTGGAGTGTTGCTCCTGGCCAAGTGAAAGCGATACACTGACAGAAATAAAAGGACCCAGCTCTGAGGTCTTTGTTTTTGACATGTGAGGTTTTCAGGAGATCCCCGCCAGGTCTCCTGCAACAGCCCCTGCAGAGCCCAGGGAGGGAGAGCATCCCCAGAACACCTCTTCTGCATTTTCACTCTGAGGTGTCATAAGCTTGTTCTCACTTTTCTTTTACAGGCTGCCAGGCTGGAGTGAACATATTTGCTATTCACAGGAACAGGGATGTGTGGGAGGACCCCGAGGTATTTCACCTTGATCACAAGAAAGGGAAGATGGTCCCTGAGCCCAGACATCCATTCCCCTTGAAGAAGGCAGTCTGTGCCCCGCCCTTATGTTTTTTTTTCCCCCTTGTCATTCCAAAAGTCCACATCTAAATGTGAAGTTCAATTGAGTTACCAAATACCCCAAAGGCTTTGAACATGGCAAAGGGCTGGGAAAGGGTGTTCAATGGTCTGTCTTTGTGCATGGTGACACAGAGATGCTCTGAGTGCTTTCAGCTGCCCTGCACACACTTAGAATGGTATGAGAAGTCCCAAGCCCCACAAGACAGTGTGTGATTTCAAGATGGTGTTTTAGAGGCTCCAAAAATAACTGTAAAGTTTGAAAAAGGGTGCATAGCTGCCTCTCTCCAGTGGCTGTCTGGAAAGCAGGGATCAGGCATGTCTGGGAAGGAGGGATCCTGACTTGATCCTTGCTGCCATGGATGAGAAAACACTTGCAGGCATCTTGAGTGTTGTAGTGGGTGACCTGGGTATCTCCAAGGGGATGATCCACTCACTGGCTTTGTAGAGAGATGAAGGTCATCTGCTGCTCCCCCAGGAAGAGCAGGGGTCACATCCAGCCCTAACCTGGGGACCAGGGAAGAATCTGGTGCAGCTCAGATCAGGCCAAACACCAACCAAATGGTCTTTGTTGCTCCCACAGGTTTATGATCCCCTAAGGTTTTCTCCAGAGAACTCATCACAGAGGCACTCCCATGCTTTCCTGGCTTTCTCTGCTGGATCCAGGTGGGAGACCCTTCATCTCTTTCCTTCTTATCAGTCTGCCTTGCATGTGGGACTTAGCTCAGATGTGAGCTCCTAAGGCTAATCTCCCTCAGTCTGCACAAGCCAAGTTTGCTTGGCCAGCTCAAGCAGGCTTTCCGTAACAGGATCTCCTATTACAGCATCTCCTGTAATAGGATTTCCATGCTCCGTCGGCTCTGTGGTCACTGTAGGATTTCAAACATTTTTCTTGTGGCTTTGTGGAGATATTTACATTTTCTGTTGCCTGCATTGGGAGCACCACTCCCTTGTTTAGGGGTGAATCCCTCAAAGCCAAGGGGCGCCAAGTTTCCATGGTTCCTGTGCTGTATCAATAGACAGATGTAGGATACTCAGGTCTCAGTAGCTTGCAAGAGGATCACCACACAGAGCCAGAAATATCCTTTCAGAGGTGTCTGGGCTTTTAGCTGGATCCTGGCTGCAATTCCTAGTGAAGTAAGCCCCTGTTCTCTCAATCTTGTATCTTTTTTCAATGTTCAATAATAAAATAAATAGCAATACCCCACCACAGAGTTGGGTGCACCAGGGGCTTTACTAGATAAGCTGTGGTGTCATCCTCGCAGCAGCTGGAGGTCCCCCAGCTCACACCTGGGGTGAGTCCAGCTCGGGGGTGGCTGGGGAGGATGGCAGCAGCTGGAGCACTTGTCACCCTCCAGGAACTGCATCGGGCAGCAGTTTGCCATGAACGAGATGAAGGTGGCGCTGGCTCTGACCCTGCTGCGCTTCGAGCTCTACCCGGACGCATCCAAGCTTCCCATAATGCTACCACAGGTGATCCTCAGGTCCAGCAACGGGATACACCTGCGTTTGAAGAAGATTTTCTGATCCCACAGTGTACCATGGCAGGGAGGCAAGAGCCCCCTGCAAGAGACACCCTCCACTGTGGATACTAAATGCAAAAAGCAGGCAGGAAACAGAGCATGTGTGAAACTAAGTCACACAGGCTTCTCACTCTGGCCTGAGGAAGCATAAGAAAGAATCCAAACAGTCCTTGGTAAAGGACAACAATCTGCAGGTGGTGTTTAGGAAAACAGTCAAGGGGTGGTGATCCACTTAACCAGTGATGATGATGTGTTGCTTTAATGACCAAGGAGAGCTTACCTCTCAGACCTTCTCAAACATGTGTATAAAAGAAGATTAAGAATAATAAACTTTGCTCTCTTGGACAATGAAGCTAAGGGAGTCAGCGTCGTGTTTCTCTCTGTTCCTAACACAGTGCGACACTCCACCCAGAGGTTTATGAGGGCATCACCAAACAGACCCACAGTGGCCACACTGGCCCTCTCCCACGTCAACCCCTGTCCCACTGTTGTCCAGAGGGCCCACAAACACCAAACCCAGCAGGTCCAGTTCCCCTCCTTGCAGGGGGAGCAGCACTGCTAAAGGGGTTTCACAGCATGGCTGTGGCTCAACCTTCACCTCCACGGGCATCCTCCATGTCCTGCTCATCTCCTCATCTCCTACCTGCCCTCATACGCTCCCTGGCAGTACCTCTGTCACCTGCCTGTGGGTTTTTCCTGTTGTCAGTTCCCCACTTGGGTTTGAGAGTGGGTTTGACATGGTTTGCACGGCTGCCTAAAGCCTGGGCACTGTCCCAGCACAGTCCCTGCCCTGCCTGCCTGGGTGTGCTGGGCCAGGAGGGCTCCTCCCTGCAGCCTCCCTGCATCCCCACACACCACCCTCCCAGACATTCCTGCTCTGGCTGGCACTGTGCCCACCATTATGGAGATGAATGCCTGTGGTTCTTTTCTGCCCCAGCTCTGAACTTCCTTGAGCTGAGGGTGCTCAGGAGCCAGCACAGAAAATGCCACCAGCTAACCTGAGGAAGCAATTCCAAAACCTCTGGGAACAGCGTGTGCTGGCATTGTTGTCCTCTCTGAAATGAGAAGAAAGCCTTGTGGGGATGATCCCCAAGCATGGCTTTGGCTTCCTCTGCATTTGGGGGCCCAGCAGGGTACAGGAGGAGTCCCAGCAGGCCAGAGGCAAGGCTGCACCCAAGGGTGCAGTGCTGTCTGTTTTCTCAAGCCACATTGCACCCTGTCGAGCTTGTTTCCACATACCCCACACCATCCATCACCTCACCTTTGACTCCAGGAGTTTCAGTGGTAAAGAAACAATTTAAATGATCCATGGTCAAACAAAGCAAAATAGAAATACACACCACACACAAAAGTGCTGGTAATAATAACAAAGACAGCTTACAAAATAAAACAAGAAGAGATGTGACCCTGCCTCCAACCCTGTCCTGGAGAGGACTGCTGCAGAACTGACTGCTCAGGTCAAGAGTGTCCTGCTCAAGGGACGTAGGTGAGCACTGGCCTTGGAATTCGGCTTGTTGTGGGGTACAGCGAGCCTTTCCCCATCACCAGGCCAGGCGGACCATCTGGATGAGCTGCAGGTCTGGGCTGTGAAATGGATCAGTAGGTGGCAGTGGGAGACCCAGAAAAAGTCCTCCCTGGTCCCTGGTAAAACACCCGGGCCCAGCAAGGCAGATGATGTGTCCTACTCCTGGGGACATTCCTGTCACCACCCTCAGAGGTGCAGCCACTGCTCTGTCAGAGTCCCCAGTGTGTCTGTGGCATTACCCAAAGCCCAGGGGAAATTTGTCACTGTGAGGGCCTGGGCACTCAGCGGCATCAGGGGAAACTGAGGCACAAAGGCCTGCATATGTGTCATGGCACGGTGACAGACAAGGCTGTGCAGCTTTCACACACAGCACTGGCATCACCAGAATCACTGCAGGCACCAACATATCCAAACCATGTCTGTCTGTCTGTCTGCCTAGGCAGCTCTCTGCTGATGGCCAGAGCAGTCAATCCTGAGCATCTCCCCATCTGACTGAACTGCTGCAGCCCTCCTGCTCCCTATCTCTGCTGCCTGCTGCATCCTCAGTTTGAGAAACAGAATTCTCCTCAGGCTGGATCCAGAGCTTTGCCTTGGCTATCTGGGTACCAAAAGGAACAGGGTTGCTGAGATCAACCAGCAAGGTGCAGCTTGTGTTTATTTTACAAGGCAGACCAAGTTCCTCTTGTCCCAGCCCTCCCCTTCTCCCCCAGAGAAGGAGACTGGATGATGCAGGTTGTGCAGAGGACAGTGCCACCAGCCTGGCACCCCGGTGGACTCAGGTCAGAAAGGTCAGACTCCTGCTGTCCTCCTCCCAGCTCCAGCACAGCAAGGGCTTCAGAGGGCAGTGGTTTAAAAATACATTTTTATTGCTGAGAAACCCTCTTTGTCAGATATTTCAGCCACCCATCTGGGAGGAGACAAACCACCTTGAAGCTCTGTTCAACTGCTCTCTGGCAGGTGGTCCAAGAAATGAGCTTCTGGTGTGCTTGGCCACAAAGACCCATCTCAGTCTCCTTGGTGGTGGCATTTAAAAGCATCACTACAACATCTTCTGGTTTGGGAATGGGGGGTAGGCTGCTGCCCACCCCATGGCCTGTACAGTGCCCTGTGTTTTGGGGCCATCACCCTATCCACTGCCATGACCAAAGCTGCCCATTTGGCTTCCAAGAGCCCTTCTGATTGCTAGATTATTATGAATGGCCAAACACCAGCCACTTCCAGCATCCAGGGATGCTGCTCTTGGTAATCTGCTTGGGAAAGAGAGGAGAAACTGCTGCCATTTCTCATGCAAAAAAATGGATTGTTATTCCAGGCAGCTATGACAGTAATTGAGGAAGGCAGAGACAAACAAACACTTCAAAATCTCTTCCTATTAAGAATCATGCTTAAACCGGGTTTGCAATTTGAAGGGCCAAAGCTTTTGAGGGACGGTCTCGCAGCACTGATGCACCGTGAAGCCCTAATGCAGCAGCAACCAGGAGAAAATTCTTCCAGTTCTCAGCTTAGCCAGGTCAAACCGAGCAGCACAAACATCCCCCCACCTTCAAACGCTGACAGTTTCTGGACAGCAGCTTGTACCAGATAACCTCCCCTGCCAAGGCAGCAGCGAGCGGCTGGGAGAGCAGCGCAGGAGCTGTGCGAGGAGCCGGGCAGCAGCCGCTGACACAGATCTAATCGCCTGCGCCTTGGCCCCAAGCATCTCCCTGCCAGGCAGTGACATTTCTGCGCTGTCTCAGCTCGCTCCTCCATCACCATGGCTACAGCAGCCGCCAATCCACGGGCGAGTCCTTCCCGAGTACCAACAAACCCTCTGGGAGATGCTACGGGAGCCAGCCCCTTTGGCAGGGAGACACTCCGGGGACCCCGGGACAACCCAGAGCACCGAAAATTCCCCTTTTTCTTCTTTCCCTTCTCCTTTTTATTTTCCCTTTTTCTTTTTATTTTTTTTTTTTTTTTTCCCTTTTTCAAGCACAAACAATGGAGCTAAAAGGTTGGGTATCAGGCCGATAATCATGAATGACGTGTCATTATTACACACCACACATTCATTATCTCCCACTCCAGCCATGTCACAGGCGGCTGGAGGAGGGCAGATAACGGGGTGCCTTCATGCAGATGGCTTATTATCAGGATGTTCCAGGAGGGGCTTTAAGACAGTTAGTGATGCTGTTTGCCAGTTAAAGATTAGAGACCCCAGAGAATAATTAACAATCCCAAAACCCAGTTTTTCTGCTGGATTCTTCAGCTTTCTCCCCCCTCCCCCATCCTCTTTAATCTATTCACTCTAGCAGGTGTAATAAAGTGATAAGGACAGGCTCTGGGGATGTTTGTTTGGCTACTACGGGTGTATAAACCAACAATGGATGGTATTTTACTTCTGCCTTTCAGTGGCTTGAATCGAGACCAAAAACTTTGCAGCCCCCTTGCCCACACACAGCCACCCCTCCATGCCATGCCCATGGCTTCCACCTGGGTGGCTGGGCTTCCTCCCCACCCAAAGGACCATGAGGGTGGCACAGGCTCCCTTTTTTCCTCTGGAGATCCAAATCACACCTCTTGGGTGTCAAGGTGCCCAGTGCCAGGATATAAACCCCAGGCTACATCGCTCAGGTGCAGGGATAGAGCTGGTGCTGCTTCCAGCAGCAGTTTGCCTGAATGCAGCAAGTCTGGAATTAAACTGCCTCGGGATAATTTATATCATAGGTGTCCACCTGCCCAAGCTGCTCCAGTTACAGCTGGAACAGAAACATCTCAAACCCGCATAGCTAAAGAGCCTCAGGAGAGATCGGGGGAGCATCAGAGTAAAGGTGGCTTTCAGCAAGATATCCCATTTTCTGGAGTTCCAAGAGACAGATTGCACCCTCCTAGGTCACAAAGAAAATTTATGATACACCTTATAACAAAGTGGGGATGCAAAAAACCCCACCCTGAATATCTTCTGCCCCAAAGGAGACTGCCCTGTCTGCAGCAGAACAGAACCCAGGACATGTTCCCGAAGCTCCAGAGATAATGGCATTACGGAATGGGGGTAGGATGGAGCACTCATGGTGTCTTTATCCTGGTGGGCGTGGGGAGGTTAGTGAAGAACACCTTCATACCCCTGCACTGCGTGGAGAGAGGTGTTGGGGAGGATTTGGCCCTCGGGCTAGTTGGCTTGGGGCCCTTCAGGGAGGTGTCTGAGGCTGTGGGAGGTGTCCCTCACCTGCGGGTCTCAGGTACAGCCTGACTCGGGAGGACATTCCCCAGCTCACGGGGGGGAAGGCACGAGCACTGGCACACCAGAAGTTGTCTTCCCAATCACGCTCATCCTGCCAGGGAGGGATGAGACAGCATTGTGCTTTAAAGAGCATCCCGACCCTATCAGCAAGAGATGAGATATCCTAATTATGGCAGTACAGACGAGGATCTGGGCTGTATCAGCCAGTACAGAAAGGTAAACAAGAAATATAACAATGGACCCTTAACACTCATTAGCTGTGTCAGATAATACCTCACTTTTCTCCCTTTGGGGCTTAAAATCTAATTAAGATTTTCCAACAATAAATTTCATTTATGCTCGCTCCCTTTTGTTCTTTTTAGGATCACACCGAGAAGCA